CCCACCCCGAGGAAGCAGAGCCTAGAGGCACAATCACATAGAAGGGTTTCAGTCCCGGAGTCAAGGGCAGACCTGAGTCCTGTCATCTGGGACCTTCCAGCTTCTACGTCGCAATCCTTCCCTTTCTGCTTAGGCCACTGTCGCTCTTCCCTCCGCCACCTGCTACAGAACCCTGAAAACTGAGGCTGTTGGTCGGATTTGGTTTCTTTGTCTGTCTGTTTTGCCTCTCCATTTTGCTCCTAAATACCGGTTACCCTTACCTTTAAATTGTCTTCAATATGCCCCATGTTAAATATCTCAACCAGCCCTGGCTGGTTTGGCTCAAAGGTTAGAGCCTCGGCCCCCGGACCGATGAGTCGTAGGTTCAGTTCCAGTCAAGGGCACGTACTTCGGTTGTGGTTCATCCCCGGCCCTGGTCGAGTGTGGGGGAGGCAGCCAGTCGATGTGTCTCTCTCACATCACTGTTTCTTTCTGTCTCTCTGTCTCTCTCTCCCTCCCACTCTGCCTGATGATAAATAGAAAAGTATCCTCAGGTGAGGAATAAAAATATATATATATATCTCAACCAATTCACCAACCAACAAAAAATTAAAAAGCTGTGTCTTGGGAACATAAACAACCTACCTACACAGACTATACATCTCACCAAGTTAACATATCAGTTTAATGTAATTCTAATCAAATCCCTGTAGAATGGCCGATTTTAAGATCAGAACCTTTTTAAAATTCACAATTAACAATTTAGAAAATATAATGGGGTTCAAAGTGCTATTCATAAGTAACACACAACATGGAATTCTGATGGGATGTTTATAAAGAAAACCCCAGGGGCTGGAGAAGGGAAACATGAATCTAAGGAGAAGCATAACATGTTTCTGGCCAGAAAAACTCAACTATTGTAGAGGGGCCAGGTATTCCCAAACTAACATATAATACACGAAACTCTCATACAAATCAATAAAAAACAACTGAAAACCTTAATAAAAATGAGAAAATGGGCCAAAGGAAATGAAGAAGCGATTAACATAAGAAAAAAACAAGTAGGCAATAAAAATATAAAAAATTATGAAGAGTGCTCAGACCGATGGGGAATAGGAGAGCCGCCAGTGTGCGTTTCTGGGGGGTAAGCTAATAATCCGCGTTAAAAACCTCAAAAACTGTGGTTTTGGCTGAAACACTTCACTCTAGAAACATACCCTAAGGACATAATCAAATGAGGGCCCAAGGATGTTCACTACAGCATTATTTTTAATAGAGAAGAAAGAGAGGGAAGAAAGTTAAATGTGAGCAAATGTTTATTACCTGGATAGGGACTGAAAGAGGCATTTGCTATACTTCTGTGAACAAAATTCATCCCTTAAGAAAAATTTAAAAAATCACTGCCGTCATCTTCAGAATATACAAATAACCCTGTTATTTAAAACTCTTTCTGCATCTTTTATTTAAATAATAACTAGGTGGCCTAAAATCAGGTATATAAATTAGATACATATAATCTATACAATGAAATGCTATTAATATATGTTCAATGATCTAGACTTACATTTATGGACACCCACAGTTAGGGGGAAAGCAGGTTATAATATAACATGTATAGAATAGAATTTGTATTTTTTATAAATGTACATATTTATACTCATTTTTATGTATTTGCACAGGAAGGTCTAAAGAATATACAGAAAATGGTAACAGTGGTTATGACTGGGTTGTAGGGTTGTTGAGTCATTTTTACTTTCCTCTTTTCAGATATCTGCATTTTTTCAAGTTGCTAAAATTATTAGATATCCTTTTAATTATAAGAAAAAAAAAACAATACAAATGATACATTTTTTAAAGAAAAAAGAGAGAAGTGATGGACATGAGTTCAGGTGCTACTGTAACAAAGCACAAGAAACATCTCTTCCCTTCCGGTGACGTGTGCAGTGTGACAGACAGGATTCCTCCACGTGGCACGAGGTGGGGGAAGCAAGAAAAGTGATCCCTGTGACCACTACCTCCGGGCATTCACTTAATTCTTCATTCGATCGTTTATTTGTTGATCACCTCCCGGGGGCCAGACACAGTGCTAGAAAGGCTACTTTAAAAACATCCGGGAAGGGGGTGGGAGGTTAGTGAAGGGTAAGAGGGGCCAGATATATGGTGATGGAAGATGGGTGGTGGGCACACAGTGCAATATACAGATCATGTATCATAGAAATGTACATTTGAAACATATATGATCATATTAGCCAATGTCACCCCAATAAATTTAATACAAAAATTTAAAAATAATAAATGAAAAGATAAAGATGTGTTTAGAGGTCAAATGCATTTGTTGAGTTAGGGTAGTTTATGTTTGTCAGTTTTTCATAATTAAAATGTTCACCTACTACTGCTCTTAGATTCTGCACACCCAGTACGTGACTTCTCACAGTACATCACTGACTCTTTCCCCACCCCACCCACAGGTGCACTAAACTTGGCGGCAATGAGGCGTCAGGCCACAGAGGTTGGCCCATAGTGCCTTTAGACTAAAGGGTGCTTGACATCCTATTCAAAGGCACAACTCAAAAACCAGCAGTGCCAGGAATGTCTGCAGATCACTCTGAGTTCAGCAGGCCCAAAGAGAGGATGGGACTGTTCAGATCATTAGCAACCATCTTTGAGAGGCTGGTTGGGGTCCCTCCAGGCTCCATCAGAGGCAGAAAACCGTGATCAAACTCTCCCTCCACCTGCAGCCAAATATCTTGGCAGCTTTACAATGGCCCCACCTGGTGGTTTGTTCCCTCTGTGAGGACTCACCGAAGTCCATTTCAGAGTCAAGGAAGCAGTGAACGGACGGACATGCAACACCTAATGCGTCCTGCTCGGAGTTGCTAACTTGTCTGTTACAGATTGTAACACTTTAGGGAACCACTAATTTCTAAGAAAGTGAAACGATATCTTTTACATGAAATATGGAAGTTGGGAAAACTCTACTTCATCCTTTCCTTACCTAGACGGGATAAAAAAGTTCTAGTGAAGAAATTCCCATTTTATATAAACTAAGAAGAAAGTTTCCCTCCCACCCTTTCTCTCTTGAGCTGGATCAATACGTACATGTTAGGTCTGGTGAGACCGTTAATAAGCAGAGCTAGAGCTACACGGCAGTAGGAGCAATGCTAGTGTAAATTAAATTAAATCCAGTTCTTCCCTACTTGGTACCAGACACTATGAGCTTTATAAAAAGTAAAATGGCCTCTGTCCTCCACAGCTTCCAGTCCAAGAGCAGGCACAGATATTGATAAATAACTTTACTGCAGGATGAACCTGCTACCTCTAACCACAGAGGCACAGACACAGCGGCTCCGGGCGCAGGCTCTGAAGGCAGGCTGCCCGGGTTCTACTCATCACCGGCTACGTGACCTGGGAAATTAACCTTCTTTCCCTCAGTTTCTTCATCTGAAAACTCTGCCTTGTAGGACTGTTGTGAGGACGAGGGTGGCACAGATGGAAGCGCTGTTAATGTTGGTATAATTATTACGAGCATGAGGTAAGGATAAACTGACTGACAAGGACCGGGAAATCCATCCAGAGAAATGGAATCTGTGGCCAAGCTTTGTCTGTTTGTTTGTTTTTTATCCTCACCCGAGGACATTTTTCAATATTTTGTTCAGATAGAGTGGGAGGAAGAGAGAGACAGAGAGAAACATCGACGTGAAAGGGACACATCGAGTGGTTGCCACCCACACGACCCTACCAGGGCTGGAGACAAACTGCAACCAAGGTACATGTCCTTATTGGGAACCGAACCCGGGTCTCTCCGGACCTCAGGCCGACGCTCTAACCACTGAGACAAACCGGCCAGGGCAGTGTGGTCAAGCTTTGGACCACAGCAAGGATTTCCGTGTGCAGCGAAGGGACAGGAGAGGGGTTCAGGATTAACCTGAGCAAAGGCCTGGAGGCAGCAAGAAGAGGGCCAATGGCAGCAGAGTGGGCCGGTGCTGTGGCTGCAGTCCCAGGCATCTGAACGTGGGTGGGGTGGGGCGGGCAGAACAAATGACATGGGAGACAAGGTGGGCTGACAAGGAGGTGATGATTACCAGGCTAGAGAGCCTGAACGTTATTCTGTGGACAACGACAGTCCAAGAAGCAGAGTATCACATGAAAAAGAACATGGATTCTGGGTTTGAATCTTGGCTCCATCTCTTAAGAGCTGGGTGACCTCAGGCATGGCACCTAATCTTTCTGTGCCTCTGTATTCTCCCCTGTAAAATGAGCATGTTGGGGATTAAATGACTGTATACATGCCAAGTGTTTAGAACGGTGCCTGGCACGCAGTGACATACGTAAGTGTTCTCTTAAAAGGTAGGACTTGGCTTATGGCACCTCTTCCTGCCATCGTGACAGCCCTTCAGAAAATTATCAGCAAGGACAAGGTCAAGGGTGTAAGACTGCTTTCCAACTGTTCAAAAATACCACATAAAAATAAATGTTCTCACCATGGCGGGTTCTGCTCAGTAGTTAGAGCATCAGCCCATGCACTGAAGGATCTCAGGGTTGATTCCCGGCCCTGTTTGGGGCACGCTCAGGAGGCAACAAATTGGTATGTCTCTCTCACATCAATGTTTCACTCTCTCTCTCCCCCTTCTTCCTCTCTCCCCTCCTCCTTCCCTTCTACTCCCCCTAAAAAATCAATGGAGAAAACATCCTCAGGTGAGGAGTAACAAAAAGAAAAAAGAAAAGAAATGTTCTTTTTTAGACAAAACACTTCCATGGTACATGAAAACAATTTATCTCACAGGACAAAGTGGAAGCTGGCATTAAACTTAAGCACACACAATACTAGGCAACATATTCTGAGTCTGCCTAAGACTTTATCAGATCACTGGCCATGCAAAGTGGCAAAATGCACCATTCATGAGATGGGATCTGTGCTCACTTCTGAATGATGGCAAAAGTGTTAATGAGTAGTGGGGGGAAAGGCATGAGCTGAATGTACAGTCACAATTGCTCAGACATCCCTCAGGCAAAGAACTTACTTCCAGATCCATCCTTGACTCTAGGTCCTTCAGGCTTGGCCTCAGAAATAATGTTTGCATTGGCATTATTCTCCATCTCGATCACAAAGTCACTGTCCTCTTCAAACTCAGGGTGGCTAAAGATCCAATCCAGGGCTCTTTCCAGGTTACTATTCTAATGAAATAAAACATTTTTATAATGTATGCTGTCCTCAGGCCCCCTTACATCCTGACTGTTTGAACCAGGATGTCAAGCAGCTAGGGCAGGAGGCCTGAATTCATTCGTCCTATGTGTCTTCTGAGTAAGAAGCCCTGACTCTGCATATAAAATGCACTTGGCATTCTGCAAGTCTCCCAGCCGAGGTACGGAACCAGAGTCACTGGCAGACAGTCCTGAGCAGCAGGTCAGCATTCCAAAGCCCATATCGGTCTTTGCTCAGCATTTCTGTAGACTGATGCTGATAATGACGGGGTGCAGAATGCCAGAAAGTAGGGCATTTGTTTGGGTGCAGCCCTTCCTAAGGCCACAATAATTGCACATACTACATTCGCTACCAACTGTATTTTCTGCAGGTAACCATGCCAGGAAGAAGGGTGCCAATGTAGTAGTATATTAATGCCTCCTCTCCCCAAATGTTGGCCCAATGGCTGAACTGCAGCAGAGACAAAATTAATGCCTTGACTAATGATGACAACACTGGTTATTTAAAGTTGAATTGTTTTCCAGGCCAGTTTGACTCAGCGGTAAGAGCGTTGGCCCGCGGACCAGAGACTTGGGTTCAGTTCCCGCTAAAGCTGAATTGTTTTAAACTGACCTCCATGCAGTTCAAACCAATTGACCAGAAAAACATGTTCCTCTCTCCCTGTTTGTTGTATCACTGGAGGGGTAAAGAGTTTATTTAGACATAGTCGGAATCTCCAATGAAAGAGTCAAGCAAGTAAAATAAGTAAGACATAAGCAGGTACCCCGAGTGAAACAAATGCTAGTTGAGATACTTCAGTCGAGAACTGTGGGGACCTGAGCAATGCACCCCAGCAGGCAGCCAATCAGGACAGGCGAGAAGGAATCAGCAGCAGACAACCACTCAAAACAGTGTGGCAAGGAAGGATAGATTTAAAAAACAAAACAAAAATAGGGACTTTCCCTCAACACTGAACAGAGATCTGCACTGTAAAAGGAAGACGTCTATCTATTCTCTAGCTTCACGGTGCTCTCTCCTGACAGTATTGGGAAGTGCGTGAACACCGGAAGAAACCTCTCTCTCTGCAGAAACAGAAGCAGATAATTCCAGTCTTCTCTGTGAGGACTTGGTCTTGGTATCAGAAAAGCATGATTTTCCTAAAGAACTGCCTTACTGAACACAGAAGCTCACGACCCTCTCTGCTCCAAGGCCACAGCGAACTCCAGGTCAGATCCCTGGGCCTCTTTTAATGAACATTAAGACGATATGGAGTGTCTTTCAGTTGGGTCATCTTGCCTCAGCTGTATGATCTCCCTATTTTTTTTTCTTATCTCCCTAATTTTAAACTCTCTGTATGATTCCCTCACTCATTTATTTGAGCTTTATAAATACTGCATGCAAATAAATCTCTGTGGTCCATGGGAGGGAACAGAGTGAGACTACCATGACCCAGAGTGATCAAAGGACACTGGAAAGTCTCAGACGCCACTGATGACATACAAACCACTTTAGTAAGAGAAGGGTATCCAACAGTCTCTCGTTCTTACCGTTGCTCGTAGCGCCTGAATAGCCTGATTTCGATGGAATCCCATGGAGGTAATGATAGACACAATCTCCTCTGGGGGCTGGTTATCCAACCCAGTAGCACCAAAAACAGAGGCTCCAGCGGAAGCTGCTCCTCCATAACCAGGTATGGTCAACGGTTCCGCAAAATCTGGGGAAGATAATCACACTCAGACCTTTTTCTTTCTTGGGTCTTAAAATAAACAACATTTTAAAACCAAGAAGGAACAACACCTACAGAGTTACAATAATCAAGACAGTCAGTACTGGCATAAAGATAAACATATAGATCAATCAAATAGAATTGAGTAAAATAATAAGCCCCTGTATATATCCACGGTCAAATGATTTTCAACAAGGCTGCCAAGAGCCCTGGCCAGTTTGGCTCAGCGGTTAGAGCGTCGGCCTGCGGTCCGGAGAGACCCGGGTTCGGTTCCCACTAAGGGCACGTACCTCGGTTGCAGTTTGTCCCCAGCCCTGGTTGGTCGTGCGGGTGGCAGCCACTTGATGTGTTCCTTCACGTCGATGTTTCTCTCTCTCTCCCTCCCACTCTATCTGTACAAAAAATGGAAAAATATCCTCGGGTGAGGATTAAAAAAAAAAAACAACAAGGCTGCCAAGACCACTGCATGGGGAGAGGGCAATCTCCTCAACCAAAGCTGCTCAGACCATTTTAGATTCGCACGGAGAAGACTGAACGCAAACCTCTCCCTCACACCATAAATAGAAGTTAACTCACAATAGACCATCGACCTAAATGTAAGAGCTAAAACTATAAAACTCTAATAAGAAAACATATGAGTAAATCTTTGTGACCTTGGGGTAGGCAATGGTTTCTTAGATACAACACCAAAAGTACAAGTGACAAAAGAAAAAGAAAGGGATAAATTCCACTTCATCAAAATTAAAACTTTTGTTTCTAAAGATGCCATCAAGAAAGTGAGAAGACAACTCACAGAATGGGAGAAAATATTTCCAAATCATATATCTAAGGTACTTGTATACAGCATACAAAAAGGACTCTGAACTCAACAATAAAAAGACAAATAACCTTGCCCAGCCGGTGTGGCTCAGTGGTTGAGCGTCGACCCATGCACCAGGAGGTCAGAGCACATGTCCAGGTTGTGGGCCAAATCCCCAGTGGGGGACATGCAGGAGGTGGCTAATCGATGTTCTCTCTCATCGATGTTTCTTTCTTTTTTTTAAATTTTATTTTTGTTACAGATGTTTCTCCTTTTATACCCCATTGACACCCTCCTCCCCATCCCCCTGCCCCGTCTCTCATCGATGTTTCTATCTCTCTCTCCCTCTCCCTTCCTCTCTCTCTAAAATCAATAAAGAACAAAAAATTCTTTTTTTATCCTCACCAGAGGACATTTTTGCATTTATCTTCAGATAGAGCTGGAGGGAGAGAAGGGGGAAGAGAGAGAGAAAAACATCTACATGAGAGAGACACACTGAGTGGTTGCCACCCACAGGACCCAACCGGGGCCAGGGACAAACTGCAACCAAGGTACATGCCCTTAGCGGGAACCGAACCCGGGACTCTTCAGTCCACAGGTCGACGCTCTAACTGCTGAGCCAAATCGGCCAGGGCAAGAAAAAAACAATTTTTTAAGACAAATAACTTCATTAAAAATGGGCAAAGGATTTGAACAGACATTTCTCCAAAGATATATAAATGACCAACAATATGAAAAGATGCTCTACATCTTAATCATGAGGGAAGTGCAAATCAAAACCACAATGCGACACCACTCTGCATCCACTGGAATGGCTATAATGAAAACAATAATGACAAGGTTGGTGAGGATACGGAGAAACTGAAACCCCCCAACATTGCTGGTAGAATGGTCCAGCCACTGCTGGAAACAATTTGGCAGTTCCCCAACAGGTAAGCACAGAGTTGCGTATGACACAGCAACTCCCCGCAAGAGAAATGAAAACACGTCCACACAAAAATGTGCACACGAAATACAGCTACATTATTCATAATAGCCAAAACGTGGAAACAACCTGAGTGGCCATCAACTGACAAGAGGATACATAAAATGCAGTTTGTCCATACAGCAAAATATTATTCATTTGTAGGAAGGAATGAAGTACTGGCATATGCTACGACACAGATGAACCTTGGAAGCATTTTGCTATGTGGGAGCAACCAGACACGAAGATCCCACGTTGTATGGCTCCATTTGTGTGAAATGTCCGAAGCAGGCACGCCCGTCGGGCCGGAAAGCAGAATGGTGGCTGCCAGGGCTCGGAGCGCGGGCATGGAAGGTGGCTGCTGATGTGTACAGGATTTCTTTTCAGGGGACAGTCGTTAGACAGTGGTGATAGTTGTACAGCTCTGTAAGTTTACCAAAAACCACTGAAATGTACACTTTCAGTAGTAATTTTTTTTTTTTTTATCCTCACCTGAGGACATTTTTCCATTTTTTGTTCATATAGAGTGGGAGGGAGAAAGAGGGAGAGAGAGAGAGAGAGAGAGAGAAACATCGACGTGAAAGGGACACATCGAGCCCTGGCCAGTTTGGCTCAGCGGTTAAGAGCGTCGGCCTGCGGTCCGGAGAGACCCGGGTTCGGTTCCCGCTAAGGGCATGTACCTCGGTTGCAGTTTGTCCCCGGCCCTGGTTGGTCGTGCGGGTGGCAGCCACTCGATGTGTCCCTTCACATCGATGTTTCTCTCTCTCTCTCCCTCCCACACTCTATCTGAACAAAAAATGGAAAAATATCCTTGAGTGAGGATAAAAAAATTTTAAAAGTTAAAAAAAAAGAAAGAACGGGACACATCAAGTGGCTGCCACCTGCATGACCAACCAGGGCCGGGGACAAACTGCAACCGAGGTACATGCCCTTAGCGGGAACCGAACCAGGGTGTCTCTGGACCGCAGGCTGACGCTCTAACCGCTGAGCCAAACCGGCCAGGGCTGAAATGTACACTTTCAATGGGTGAATTATCTTAATAAAGTAGAGAAAACTAAAAGCTACCTAGACAGACCCCGTGTCTTCACACACGTGTTTCCATTTCAAGTCCGCATCCTCTCCTAGCTAGAAGTATTTCCCACATCTTTCCAGGGGTCTTCTTGCCACTTTAAAGGCTGAATTATATCTGGCCCTGGCCAGTTTGGCTCAGCGGTTGGAGCGTCGGCCTGCGGTCCGGAGAGACCCGGGTTTGGTTCCCGCTAAGGGCGCGTACTTCGGTTGCAGTTTGTCCCCGGGCCTGGTCGGTCGTGCGGGTGGCGGCCACTCGATGTGTCCCTTCACATCGATGTTTCTCTCTCTCTCCCTTCCTCTCTCTCCCTCCCACTCTATCTGTGCAAAAAATGGAAAAATATCCTCGGGTGAGGATAAAAAAATTAAAATAAAATAAAATAAAGGCTGAATTATATCTGAACCAAGCTTTAATTACCAAAAAAAAAAAAAAAAGGAAAGACAAACACTGTGACTTTGCTCCACAGGCAAAGGTAGTCCCTTCTGCCCACCCATCCACCCCCACACACTGCAGCAGACTGTGAGCTAAAAAGTCATTTTTGGGACAGATCCAGAGGACATGGAAGAACCAAGCTTCGTTAACAACACCGAGGACTGCATCAGACTACAAAGCCATTCCATTTTCTGACCACCCACCTGGCTCTTCCATGTGAACAATGATCCAGTTGAAGGCCACCTCGGCTCCCATGTTTCCAGTGAAGTACACCGCCTTCCGACACGCTTCCAGAGGGAAACCCATCTCGGCCAGCTGCATCACTGACGACTCATCGACGTCCGATGCTACAGGGCGCATAGGACATCCTGGTGTAAAAGGTAAACTCCCTCCGGTCTTAGCTTCTCCTCACCCCTTTATCCACATGCTATCCAAAGAAAGTGCTGTTTTGCTAGGTCTACTTTGTTTTGTTTTAAGCCATCCAAACATTAAGCTATTTGAGTTGAACTGACCTAAACCTTTGCCCGCAGTAGGAACCATGATAATCACCTGCACAATGCAAGCACTGAAAAAGAATTCTCTAATTTCATGTGGGTGATTTAGTGTATTCCCAGAACCATTTCAGCCTCCCAGATCACACTGAAGACCTCTACAGCAGCCTCACCTATGACTGGAATTGGAAGAGAAAAGCATTATCTACAGGTCAAAAGGCCTGTTCCTTAAATCTCACAGGAAGTTATAGCAGGCCCTTAGGTACATCGCAATCAAAGGAAGTAATCAACTCTGGGAAACGGAGAGCCCAGAAGTGAACAAGAGTTCGTCTCCAGAAAGGCTCTGTAGACAAAAATGTTCAGAGTATTTAGTGTTAAACGCTCCCACTTTCTCCTAATTAATATCTAGTCACTATAAATAGAGTATTTTTTAATGATCTTTTTAGACAACCAAGAGTATCAGCTCCCACAGGACTAAAGGAAATAAAAGGCTACAAAATTAACACACAATCCAGTGAAACAAATAACCTTGAGAGCATTAATTAATACTACCATATCCTGCCAGATGTGTGTCCAGCGTCAGGAGTGTAAAAAAATGACTGGCCACTGTGCTATCACTGCAACAAGAGGGGTCCTCACGTGGCCAGAGAGGAAAGAAATGGCATCGTCAGCCCCCACTCATGCCTGAGGAAACCAGGGCTCAGAGAGGTTAAGTAAAGTATTCAAGGTCACACAGTCATAAATGGAAGAGCCCAACTTCCAAACCAGGGCTGGTGGGCTCTCACGCTAATGGTCACTGTCCTGAGCTCCAGGGCCACTGACTCACCATGTCACTGGTTTGCTACCTCAACTTGCAGACAGAGAATCATTCCACTGAGGAAAAGCTGCATACACCCACGTACAGAAAAACACTCCTTTACTGAACCCCCACAGATAAATGTGTCAGACGCTAACAATTGTAGGACACTAGGAAAAATTTCAAAGATACATACGGTCTATCAGTTGGTTCATCAGGCGATCTGGAAATTAAGGAAGAGGGAATAAAATAAGATCAAACTATGGCAAAGTGTTTTAGAGAAAGAAAAAGAATCCGTGCAGGGCACTCCCTAACTCCATCACCCCTCAGGTCCCCACACTGGTGTCAACCCATCATACAGACCACCCCAACCTGCCCCACATAAAGTCATTACAGTAAGGAGGGAAAATACCAGGTTTCCGGCATTTAGAGCAGATAAAACATGATGCTCTGATGATCATCCTACTGAACTAAATCAGTTCTCTCCCTGTATTTCTAAAAACTGCATGATGACAAGCCAAGGATTCTATTGTGAACCTCAGAGAAAGCAGGAGCCATGCTCATGTTGTCCTTCTGTGATACTCAGACTGATCTCTTCTTCCTTGAATTCCTTTAAAGAATCACCTGTACCCATAGCCCAGAATGCTCCATGAGCGGGGCTCTCTGTACTCTGTGCGTTAACATTTGACTTAGCGTTAGAGATCTATGGAACAAAGATGCCTGTCAGGAGTCCTGTGCTGCTATTCTTGGATTCACCTTTCCCTCCTGTGCACTCAAACTAGGTCGTCAATAATATTCCCTGCTCAACTGCTGAAAGACCGTTGGTAGAGGGGCCCAGAGTGCTCTGTCACAGAGGTATTTCAGTCAATTAACTCTTTAGGTAGGTGAACCATAAACAAGTGAGCAAAGTCAGAGTGAAACTGATTTAATCAGAATAAATGAGCTAATATTAGACCATGACTTTTCAGCACTGTCCCTGGTACCACAAGGTGAGGCAACTATTTTTTGCATGTCCTTTTCCCTTCAAAAGTTAAGCATTGCGCACAATCACCAATTCAGCATTCACAGAGCGAAAGAGAAACCACTCCCTTGCTCTGAAGCAGTGATGAAGCCGGGGCAAGATTTTTAAACCAACACACACTGTTCAATTTCCCCTTTTGGTTGTCCAAAGGTACTCCCCAGAATGACACAGCTTCCCTAGACTAGGAGCCTACTGAATACACTTTCTTTTTCCACTACAGGTCCATCTGGGGAAGTGGAAAGAGGAAGAAGACAAAGCCAGAGGCAACATAACCTAAAAACTTTCTGGAGATTGGATGGCCTCTGTTGCCAGTGATTTCCACAGGTCCCTTTCGAGTACTCGTGATGGGTCTGTGCCTCTTCCCATGCCTACTAAAAGTTCACGGTTGCAGCCAGGCCTCACTTCTGTGTCTGTGGTGTGTTACAACAGAGGAGGCAGCCAAGGGACACCAGGGCGGTGGGAGGACTATTCCAGCAGAGGAGGGGGCTGGGGAGAAGTAGAGGTCCTCCTGGAAGATGATACCTTTTGAGTCATCAGGAATGACAATGGGGGGGCTGATGTCTGGAAGTTCCTCTTCTCCTGGCTGTAACCCCCTGGCTCGGAGATGGTTGATATCAAGTAGGTCTGGCATATCAATAGAAACATCTGCAAAATGACAGAGATCACATTCACTGAATTCTCTGCAATCCCACAGTCAGCTCCTAAAATCAGCACCGCTGACTCTACATGCATGTGTCTAGGCAGAGCGCTAAGGGGGGCTTTTCAGTTTCCTGGAGTAATCACTGGACCAGTAGACTCGTTAAGGCTGACTGGATTTTGATGGAGACCCAGGGGAAAGTACAGAGGGTGGCGGGATTTCACACTGATCAAGAGCACATGGGGTAAGCCACAGGTCGCAAACTGGCGGCCCACAGACCATTTGTAGCCCATGCACTTTCTATGTGATGTTTTAAAAATGTTAGCAACAGATTCCAATTTTTAAATCAGAAGATTTTAATTTAGAAACCCAGATTTCCAGCTTATTTTGGAAAACAAAGCTGCAGCACATTCTCATATGGATACCCTCTGTGACAGTCTGTCTGTCATAGACCTCATCGTACCCTATTGCCCCCACGACCCTTAGCATCATATTTGTGCAATTCTGATTCTTATAGTAGAAAAATGTTTTCTAATCCGTGTCTTTATCCAAAGTGGAACAGCCAAGAAAGACCAAGATAGCTAGCTACGTGCCTCTTAGACCAGCCCATTTCCTTAATTGACGTCATCACCCTGCCTGCACCAGGCATTTGAATTTGTAACCCCTAGTGTGTGCCTCTTCTCAGCTCATGATGAGTAATGTGATTTAACTAAGGTAATAAACAAAGTATGAAGTTTTAAAGAACTTAGTTGAATCTCAAGTCTTGGGGCACATTTTTTTTTTAACTTCTCAGCTCAGTTGTTCTTATGTCGACTTACATACAAAATTTATCAGTCTAATATCTTGTTGCGATTTAGTTGTATATATTCATATATAATAATAAATGGGTTCAAAGGTTGGTGTAGGGTATATGTCTTAGGCTAGCAAACAGAACCTAAAACTAGTATCCCTAAAACCAATTACGATGCCAGGTGTAACAATCCTACTTTAAAACAATAACCTAAAGAAAAAGCTTAGTTAAAAAAAAAAAATTTAATCTCAGAGGACAGCAATAATAAACATAATGTCTGACCTACAAAATCAATACAATTGTTCCTCAACAGAAAAATTCAGGTTCATTAAAAGAAAGCTTTGGGATGCCTTTAAATTCAGCAAGTCTATGAAATCTCATCTGAATTTTTGTTCCTTTATAGGAATTCCAAGGACAAAGAAAAGTAAGAAAACTATTTCCAAAGCAGTTCAAAGCCTTTAGAAGAAGCTGGTTTTTTCCTAGGTACTTCTCAGGTCCACGGGGGAAAAGCTAAGTGGTGAGCATCCTGCCCTCTGCCCTGCCCCCGGCCCACAAAATCATTCCACCAGGAAGAGTCAAGACCTGCCAGAAAATCAGTCACAGCCTGGCATAATGTCAAACAAGTGCTGTATAAACTGTTAGGGCTGTAGGGTTCTGGGAAATCACTCCAACCACTTTTCCTTTCGTTTTACCCATCCCCTTCAAATGAGCAGATGAGTGCTTAATTAAAGCCTGAGTAGTTGTTTTTTTTAAGTGCTCAAAAACATAAAAGCTTTAAAAGACTGGCAAACAGTCTGAGTTACTTGCTTGAAAGACCACAGAGGGTAAAACTAGACATCCTTCTATACCACTGAGGATAGCCTAATAACATCATTGGTATTAGATTATGATGGTAGAAAAAAAAGTTCTTATGCACTGTCTGGAAAATTAACCTCTAACAATGGTCAAGGGCCTTTAGAATTAGCAAAAAGAAAGTTCAATTAAGCCAAAAACACATCCCTGTTTAATGCAACTGACTATACTCATTTTATTATTAATAAGATTTGTATGATTTAAGAGGATATCTTAGCTTGCTTCAGAAGCACAGGAGAGATGCTAAGAGAAAAGAGTATTTTCAAAAACTAGCCTTGCACCTCCAAGTGTGGCCTTTGGACCAGCAGAATCATCATTGCCTGGGAGCTTGTTAGAAATAAAGAATCCCATGTGAAAGACTCTTCTTTTAAAAGAAGGAAAAAAAGCACAAAAGGAACACAGTTAAAAGAATAAAATGGCAATAAGTGTGTACCTATCAATAATCACTTTAAATGTAAGTGGTTTAAATGTTCCAATCAAAAGACATAGGGTAGCTGAGTGGATGAGAAAACAAGACCCATATATGGGGTGGCTCGGTTTATTGAGCACCTTCCCATGCACTGAAAGGTCACTGGTTTGATTCCAGGTCAGGGCACATGTAGGGATTGTGCAGGAGGCAGCCAACTGATGTTTCTCTCTCATTGATGTTTCTCTCTCTGATGTTTCTCTCTCCCTCTTCCTTTCTCTCTCTCTGAAAAAAAAAAAAAAGCTGGGGCAGTAATACTTATATCTGACAAAATAGACTTTAAACCAAAGGCTATAGTAAGAGATAAAAAAGGACACCACATAATGATAAAGAAAGACAGCAATCCAACAAGAGGACATAATTCTTGTAAACATTTATATACCCAACATAGGAGCACCTAAATATGTAATCCAAATCTTGATGGACATAAAGGGAGAGAGTGACAGTAATAAAGCCATAGTAGGGGATTTTAACACCCCACTGACATTAATGGATAGATCTTCTAGATAGAAAATCAGCAAAGCAACAGCAGCCTTGAATGACACACTATTTCAGATGGATTTAATTGATATCTTCAGAGCATTTCACCCCAAAGCATCAGAATATATATTCTTTTCAAGTGTACATGGAGCATTTTCCAGGATAGACCACATGGTAGGACACAAAACAAGTTTCAAGAAATTTAAGAACATTGGATTCATATCCAGTATCTTCTCTGACCACATGGTATGAACTAGAAATCAATCACAAGAGAAAAACTGAAAAACACACAATGACATGGAAGCTAAGTAACATGTTACTAAACAATAAGTGGGTTAACAATAAGATCAGGGGACAAATCAAAAGATATCTTAAAACAAATGAAAATGAGAACACAACAATCTAAAATCTATAGGAGACAGTGAAAGCAATCCTAAGAGGGAAATCCATAGCATTACAGGCCTATTTGAAGAAACAAGAAAAATCTCAAATGAACAATCTAACTTTACACTTAAAGAAACTAGAAAAACAACAAGTGAAGCCCAAAGTGAGTAGATGAAAGGAAATAATAATGATCAAAGCAGAAATAGACCTAATAGAATCTTAAAAAAAAAAACACAAAACAAAAGATCAACGATACTAAGAGCTGGTCCTTTGAAAAGATAAACAAGATTGACAAATCTTTAACCAGACTCATCAAGAAATAAAGAAAGAGGGACCAAATAAATAAAATCAGAAATAAAAGAAGAAAAGTAACAACTGACTCCACTGAAATACAAAGGGTTTTAAGAAAATATTATGAACAGCTATATGCCAACAAATTGGACAAAACATAGCCAATAAGATCTCAGACATTTCTTTGTAGCAAAATTTTTTCTAATATATCTCCTTGGGCAAGAGAAACAAAAGAAAAAATGATCAAATGGGCCTACCTCAAACAAAAATGTTTTTGCACAGCAACGAAAATCATCAACAAAATGAAAAGACAACTGAATGACAACTGAATGAAAGAACATATTTGCCAATGATACTTATTAACCCCTGATAAAGGGTTAATAGTCAAAATTTATAAAGAACTTATACAACTCAACACCAAAAAAACAAACAATCTAATTAAAAAATGGTCAAAGGACCTGAAAAGACACTTCTCCAAAGAGGACATACAGATGGCCAATCGACATATGAAAAGATGCTTAATGTCACTAATCATCAGAAAAATACAAATTAAAACCACAATGAAATATCACCTGTCAGAATGGCTAACATCAATAAATCAACAAACAACAGGTGTTGGTGAGGATGTGAAGAAAGGGAACCCTCATGCACTCTTGGTGACAATGCAGATTGGTTCAGCCACTGTGGAAAACAGTATGGAGTTACCTCAAAAAATTAAAAATGGAACTGCCTTATGACCCAGCAATTCCACTTCTGGGAATATATTTGAAGAAACCCAAAACACTAATTAGAAAGAATATATGCACCCCCACGTTCACTGCAGCATGATTTACAATAGCCAAGATTTGGAAGCAGAACAAGTGTCCATCAGTAGATGAGTGGATAAAAAAGCCATGGTACATTTACACAGTGGAACACTACTTGGCCATTAAAAAAAAATCTTACCTTTTTCGACAGCATGAATGAACCTGAAGAGTATTATGCTAAGTGAAATAAGCCGGTCAGAGAAAGACAAGTACCATATGATTTCACTCATATGTGGAATCTAAGGAACAAAATAAACTAGCAAACAAAATAAAAACAGGCTCCTAGATACCAGGAACAGACTGACAGCTGTCAGAGGGGAGGGGAATGGAAGTGGGGTGAAACAAGTAAAGGGATTAAACAAAAAAACGAAAAAAAACCCATGGACACAGACAATAGTATGGTGATTAGCAGAGGGAAAAGGGGGGGGGGGGGCAGAAGAGGGTAAAGGGGAGATAAATGGTGATAGAAGGAGACCTGACTTGGGGTGCTGAACACACAATACATCACAGAGATGATATAATATAGAATTATACACCTGAAACCTGTATAATTATACTAACCAATATCACCCCCGTAAATGCAATGAAAATTAATAAATAAATAAAAGTAAAAATACAAACTATTCAATGATTTAAAAAAAAAAAAAAGAATCCCAAGTTCCACCTCAGGCTTGCTGAATCAGCATCTGCACTTTATCAAGAGTCCCAGGTAATCTGTACACACCGTAAGGTTTGGGAAGCATTGTCTATTTGATAATGTGGGGGTCTTTTTTTCACTCCTAGAACCCACTCACTCCAGACCCCATTATTAGAGGGGTGGCTTAGCATGTGATAATTTTATCATCAGTGTTTATCATATACTCTGATTCAAAAGAGGTGGAAATAACAGAAAAAGAATGAAATGGAACTTTCCGGCAGCCAACCACTCATGGCTCTTTCACATGCCACGGTTTTTAAATGGCTAATTTAATGTTTTAAGCAAAAGCATGCAAAAGATACCTACCAAATTTTTTGGGAACCCAGTCAAGACCAAAAGTGAACTTCTTTATCTGCACTACCAAGTATTCAGGGAATGAGGCAAAGCGAGATGTTCTGGGAAACACAAGGGGATTATATCAATGAAACAAGGCAGCAAGAATTGTGAGCACAGTTCATGAAGCATCACCTTGGTCTGAGGCCTACCTGCAGTTCCAGGGACCGAACGGAGGAACAGCAAACAGACATCAGCAGACACACACTCACTCACTCCGGCTCATTCCTCCTGGCCCTTTTATCAACATAGGAGAATGCTGTCCTTTGAAAATAATTTTGGACCCATTGCCAAATTATTACTTTTAATTTGCTGGGGCATTTTATATTTCTGAAAAGTGCTTTTCGACCATACATAAGTTTTCTCTAAAACACTTGATGGGATTTAGTATATATATTTGTAGGTATGTGAGAACATGCATACATAATGTGTGTGTGTTTTGCTTTAATACATTATTATTTTGTAGTAGTTTCAGGTGTACAGCATAGTGGTTAGATGATCATATGTTTTACAAAGTGGTCCCCCCAATATTTCTAGTACCCACCTGGCACCATACATAGCTATTACAATATTATTGACATATCCCTTAGGCTATACTTTACATCCCTGTGACTGTTCTGTGACTACCAATTTGTACTTTTTAACCTCTTTACTTTTGCATTATGTGTTTGTATGTGGGGTTTTAAAAAAGTTCACCAAGCAATCCTAGAAATGCCAGGGCCCCCATTAAAATACTACTGCACTGAAATCCATGGTCACACAGATCCTAGAAGTATATATATATTATGGCTAGGAAGGGCTGAATTGCCTGGACTTGAGTTAGACAATTTTATGCACAAACTATTCAATTTGTACACCTAATTCATGCCCTGGTTCCAGCTCATTCTCTCAGTAATTATCATTTAAGTTATAACAATCATTTCTATTTCATTGTCAATGTGAATGTGATGGGTATACATAAAAAATAAAAGTAACTGTAGACAGGTACTATAGATACCTTCTAAAATAAAAAATTTTAGAACAGCCTCCCTTTAAACACCACTTTCCAAATCTAAGTCAGTACCTTCTTGGAATGCATCCTACCAGAATTCAGAAAACAAATGCAAATCACTGCTGCCCCCTAGTGCAGAAGGGAAGTCACAGTACAGGGACAGCACTATCCAAAAAGTTACAAGACATGAATTGTGATGGGTCTTGGATATTCTATTCACTTCACTCCAAATCTGGGCAAATCACTGACTCTCCCTGAGGTTCCATTTTCACATCTACAAAATGGGTTTATTAATAATATCTACCTGCTAGGGCTGTGCAATGTTCATAAAATTCTGTGAAACCGTTTGGAGCTCTAGAATGCACTATTTATACCTAAGGAATTAACATGATCATTTTGCCATGAAAGAGCTAGACTCCATGAAGCCTTGGACACGAACTCAGTCTGTCACCAACCTGTATTGTGCCCCAGGCAAGTTGCTTAACCAACTCTGCATCACAGTTAAGGTGGAAGGAAACAGGCAATAACACAAGGAAGCTCTTCAAGAAAACAGGAGCTTAACCATCCGAAGGAACCAATCTATTATGACCCTGGCTCAATCTCCAGAAATTACATATTATCTATTTAAGTGTTCCTATCTTCTGAGAAGCAGTTATAAACACCATTCTTACTTAATTACAGCCAAGTCCTCAATTCCACCAAAAACCAACAAACTCCACCTGGTATGTTCAACTAATGTAAAAATGTAACTTCTCTGACCTGTTCCTCTTACCACACTAGCTTAAAATCTGGAAAATATATAACAGTGAAATCAACCAAAAGTCATCAGTAAATCAATGATTTTCAAAATGTGGTTGAAGAGCCCTAGACTCTTGTGGTTGCTCTGTGGTCAGTGTCTAGGTGAAGCATCAGCTGGTAAGTACAACCATGGGTTGGGGGCAGTGGAGGGAACTCAAAGCTGGGGCAGGGTGGGGGGAAGGGAACATAATTTAACATTCTATGGATAACTACCAATCTAAGAACCAGAAAGCAGTTAGATGGTGTCCACATTATATTTGCCCTGTTGGGTAAATATCTTTTCTTCATCTTCATAACCTCTACAAGCCTCAAGTTGAATGACACATGTAGCGATGGTTCAATGTATATATGGACATTCAATGAGTTAAGACATATAAAATGCTTAGAATAGTGCCTGACCTCACAATTGTTTTGTCTATTGACAAACTATTATCAATTGTTCATTTATTATAATTAAGAAAATACTATGAAAACCTTATTAAGAAAATATAAGCTGTCCCTCTCCCCAAAATTAAGATCGTCTATTATATTAAAAACCTGGCAACAACAACAACAAAAAAACACACAATTCAATCCTTTCTATTAAAAATGGTAAAAATATGATAGTTATTCAACGACTCTCAAATTATATACTCTAAGGCAAAAATAATAAGGAAAGATAAAAATAACTGTAGCAATGATTACAGCATATATTTACTCTGCACGGGGCATTGTGCAAAGCACTTAACGTGGCTTATCTCGCCTGAGCCCTCACCTACCCAGTGAGGAAAATACTATTTTTATCCCCAGTTTACAGATAAGGAAACCGGTTTAAGGAGGTAAGGTCACTTGGCCAAAGTTACAGACCAGGAGATTCAACACTAGAGATTCACCTAAAGTTTGCATTCTGCAGACCAACACTGTTCTTGGCTACACACTCTTGGCAAAACAAAACTAAATCTTAATAGAAGATAAACCACAACCTTGCTTAAAAAAAAAAAAAAAAAAGACATTCCCTCCCTAGCATATACTATAGAGTGTAAGCTTGCTTTATTGGACAGATCTCACACAAGTGAGCTGTGTAACAACTAAGGTTATGTGAATCATAATCCTATCTCACCACACATGAGCAAGCGTACACAGACTCATACAATACCCTACCACCTCTCCCCAACCCGAGTTCCCACTCTCAAGGCCTCCTCCTTACCCCACCACCAGCAAATAAGCACATGCACAAGCACACGTGCGTGTACACATATGCACACTTACTTCACACCCGCAGACTTTGCCTGTAGGGCGCTGCTCCAGAAATCATCCACATTTTCTGGTTCAGAAAAGGCCTGAAGGCAGGCACTAAATGGTATCTTGGCACGAACCAACTCAGGAAGGGGTCTTCTGTTTGCTTCTGCTTCCCTTCTTGTTAATTCATAGGCGATCAGTTCATCTGAGTAAAGGAGCAAGCAAACGATTATCTTTGCAATCGTTCTTATCTTCTTGAAATGGAAAACACCCCCTCTGGACAACCTTCCCTGATAGCTTCTGGCTGGGGCAGGGTTGCTTACTTGCTGCTCTTCACAGATCCAGAAAAGCAAGCAGAAAGGCTGCCCTTGGGGTGTCTTTAGAGTAGCACTGACAGGCTGCATCGATCCATTCATATTTTTTTTGCCTGTTCCCCTTTGAGACTGATGGGAGGGAACTGTGAACTCGGGCCCAGATAAGAGGTTCAGACCCTGCGTGTGATGTGAGTAACATACAAACCTGGTCCCCCATATGTCCAGAGATCAAAGCTGCCTTACCCAAATGCCACCCTTAGACAACTTCACACTGAAAGAACCCCAAGGGTTTGTCTCTTCCCAGGTCCTTCTCAGTGATTTCAGGTCATGGGGGTACAGGCCAAGGAGCAGAAGGAACTGAAGAACTGCAGTTATCCTCAGCACACAACCTGGAATACTGACATCGCTCAGGTTACTCACCACCTCAGCCATCAGAGCACCAGCCCAGAAGGCCCTTCTACACTGTCCCTGCTCAGGTGATTAAACACCAAGGAGAAAGGAAGTGAGTGCACTGTGAGCTTCCCAAGAGTCAGCCGACCTGCTCTTGGAAACCACCTGCAAGTCAAAATTTTATATAGATTTTGAATGGGCCTTACTGGGAATTCCTGTTGTATTGCCAAAAAAAAAAAAAAAAAAGCCTGGCCGGTGTGGCTCAGTGGATTGAACATCACCCCACAGACTGAGTGGTCCCAGTTCAATTCCCAGTCAGGGCACATGCCCAGGTTTCAGGCTTGATCCCCAGAGGGGGGCATGCAGGAGGCAGCTGATCGATGTTTCTCTCTCACATCGATGTTTCTATTCCTTTCTCCCTTCCTCTCTCTCTAAAAATCAATAAAACATTTTTTTTAATCACTCCTGATTCAGTTTTTAGGCACACTTAGGTAGTTAGGTGTTTTCTTAAACACACCTGACTGTGCTTTTAAAATTCACCTCCCAGTCCATCACTTCACAATGTACTTAGATCTAGGATGCTGGTGTTCCTAGCAATCAACATCCAGAAACTAAGTCATCAATCTTCTTTCTGAACAAAACAGTTAACCACTCATAAATGGTAAACAGCCAGTCAGACAGGATCACAGGACTGGGTAGAACACTGCCAGTCAGTATCCCCGAGGTCGGCAAGAGAAAACAAACCACACACCCTCACCCTCCTTTCTACCCTTATAAAGGATAAAAATGTTAAAACTGGTAAAAAGCTGCAGGAGCTTATAGAAATGGAAATCATTTTACCTTGAAATCACCAGAATCATCACTTCCCAATTATCGCAATAAAGTGACCACCCCCACCAAAAAAAATAGAGGGAGAAGGGAATCCAGGAAGTTCTTGAACTTTACCGAAACGATCCATTCATAGGAGAGAAGCAACCTAGCAGATATTTTGCCTCTTTTGGCTTCTAAAATGTTAATTCTAAGTAATTTCCTGTATCTATTCTGCCTGGGAAGAACCAGATTAGACAGCCTGAAGGAACCTTCCTCTCAGACCCCGACCTGGCTGCAATATCTCTGCCTTCTTCCTGCTTCCAAAGTCCAGAGGCCCCTCTAAGGGGCCTCGAGCCTGCAACACCTCATCATCTACCAGAGACATTGGAAAACTCAGATGCCAAAGCTGGATTACGTCAAGAGACCTCTGCTTGAACGTCTCACATCAAAAGTACAGTTCTGATCATTCCCCTCAGACTTCATAGCACAACTTATGAGTGATACAACTGTGAAAGAATTTTCCACATGTATAATTACAAATATTTTCCCCAGAATTAAGCGGACACCAAGCCAAACAGTTGGTCAAATTTACAGGCACTGAAATAAGTTCCATCCATAACCCTCCACAAAAATCTGTAATGCATTTGATTCTCTTCAAAAGAAAGTCACATGAGGACTGAGGGAAAGATGGAAAGAGACCTGCAAACCAGACACCATCTGGGCTGGGTCTTCTCCTGGCAGAACTGTGCAGTGACTAACGCATACGACTGACCTCTGCCCCCAGGGCCTTCACACAGGAAGAAGCCCGCTGCTCATGTCCCACCTTGGAATCATTACCTTTGTTGGTTGCTGCCTCCATGGCCACAGGTAACTGCATCAGGTAATCCACCCTCTCTGTGTAGCGGACTTTTCGGCTCTGACAGCACTGAATACGTTCTTCCACCAAAAACCGAAAAACATCACTTGGATTTTCTGAGCCAATGCGGTTCCGCTGAAGGTTAGATTATATCAGGTTAGTGAATGTATGAATATTAAGCCATAAATAAAAATTAGCATCAAATCAACTATAACTCTGATGTAAATACCTGGTGTTATGAAACGACCCCTCTGGTCATGCCATTTCACCAGAGTACTTTAAAAGCAAAACACCAGCCCTGGCCAGTTTGTCTCAGTGGTAGAGTGTCGGCCCACAGACCAGAGAGTCCCGGGTTCGGTTCCCACTAAGGGCATGTCCCTTGGTTGCAGTTTGTCCCTGGCCCTGGTTGGGATTGTGTGGGTGGCAGCCACTCAATGTGTCTCTCTCACATCGATGTTTCTCTCTCTTCCCCCCTCTCTCCCTCCTGCTCTATCTGAAGATGAATGCAAGGGTGTCTTCACATGAGGATAAAAAAAAAAAAGAAAAGAAATAAATGAAAGCAAAACACCAGTATTTATCTAAAGTCCCCAAATGGGGGATTGGCCTAATAAAGTATGATTCATCCTGTGAATTAGTATTATGTAGCCATTAAAAGTTATGGGAGAGGGCCCAGCCGGTGGGGTTCAGTGGTTGAGCGTCAACCCACGTACCAAGAGGTCACCGGTTCGATTCCTGGTCAGGGCACATGCCCAGGTTCTGGGCCGATCCTCAGTGGGGGGCATGCAGGAGGCGGCCAATCGATGTTCTCTCTCATTGATGTTTCTCTCTCTCTCCCTCTCTCACTTCCTCTCTCTCTAAAATCAATAAAGAAAAAAAAATTTTTTAAATAAAAACAGAAGTCATGGGAGAGGGACTGACCTAGATGGAGTTAGAAGAAAAGCGGTAAGGGAGCCAAGCTAAGGAGAAAGGGGGAAAAATTAAAGGACTGCCCTGGAAAAGCCAAGGCCACATATATGATTATACAAATGCATTCATGTAAATTATATCCAGATAGAAAGAAATCTCGCGAAGTTCAAATATGCAGTGACGTGGCAAACGTGCACAGCAGGTAAGTGGCGAACACCGCTTGGACACCACCTGCTTCTACGTGCGCCCGGAGAAGGACGGGTGGCCAGACACCAGAAGGCAGTGTGGCTGTTTGCAGGGCTGGTGTTGTGGGTGAGCCTGATGTTCTCCCTGTGCCTGCTACATGCTCCACAAAGCACACATTTGTAATCAGGAAAAAAAAAAAGTTGTTTTTAAGAGGGGGGAAAATCTTTACTCATGAATTCTGAGTGGCTTTTCTGAGTGGCTTTTGTAAACTACAGCATTTAAAGTGGCTCAATTCGCCCTGGCTAGTTTGGCTCAGCGGATGGAGCGTGGGCCTGCGGACCGAAGAGTCCCGGGTTCGGTTCTCGCTACGGGTGCGTGCCTCGGTTGCAGTTTGTCCCCGGCCCTGGTTGGGGTCGTGTGGGTGGCAACCACTCAATGTGTCTCTCTCACATCGATGTTTCTCTCTCTCCCGCCCTCCTTCTCTCCCTATCTGAAGATAAATGAAAAAAAAAAAAAAAAAATGTCCTCGGGTGAGGATAAAATTTCATCTTAAAGTGACTCAACTCTGCTGGGCGCAAAGTGTGGCCGTCTCTGAGTGGCGGCAGAAGGATAGCAAATACCACACGGGACTCAAGCAGCTTCGTCACCACAACCAAAGAGAAAGGAAACAGAATGGAGAATGAACTAACAATGAACACTCCCAGAACACGTCTGAACTGAAAGAACAGCAGATCCTCGGGTACCTAGGAAACAGGACAGGAGGAGCTATCACATCAACAGGCTGGTTGGGTGGGCAGAGAGAGATCTGGGAAAGGGGGTGGAGGCATTCTGGCCACGCCCAAAAGGACTGCCCTTAGGGGCCAGGCACACTTCTTACAACCCTTTAGCGCATTTCTGAAGACTTACTCACCTCTACTAGATTCACCAGGTGCAAGAAGAATTCCTGGGCATCTTGCTGTCTGTTAGAGGAGAATTCTGGATGACTCTTGCTTACAAAGGCCTTAAACATGCGTGGAGAGATCCCATTCTGTTGAGGCTACAATGTAGAAATAAAATCAACTTACAATACTTTCCTACGCATTAATAGCAGCACTAAGTAGCAGGCCGAGTGGGGACTACCATGAACCTAATTTTCAGATGAGAAAACTGAAGCCCACAGAAGCTAAATGAGAACGCCAACATCACTGCATGTTAAGTACACACAGGCCCTGCACTCCAAACCTGATCGGAGGACAGGATGGCACTCTCCCTATTCAGTCAAAACTAAAGACATGACAAATATCCCACTTTCTGAGAGACACTAGGCCCATCCTCACAGGACTTGCTGCCCGGTCCAGCCCACTGCAGAGCAGGCTAAGCATCAGGGAAGAAAGCTCTGCGCGGCTCCCTGTGCCCTGCACGAGGGACATGAGAACCCCTGGCAGAGCATGGGGTGCCTGCCGGAAAAGGGAACGGCACTGCATGCCCTGGTAACGCCTGCAGAACTTCCCAGAGCACGGGAGTTGCCAGGAGCGTGCCCCTCACCTGGAGAAGCGGAAGGAGGCTGGTGCAGCTGCCAGGGTGGAGAGTGGAAAGAGGGAGTGACAAGGACAATTTTGTCAGGACAAGGACAATGTGCACTTCCCTAGGGGCTAAAGGATAGCACAGAAGGCAGCCAGCTCCCCTAGAAAGGACACTCTGTAAGAGGGTGGCACGTCAGTGGGTTAAGGAGTCTCGGGGCAGGAGCTGGGGTGGGGGATTACAGAGTCTGCTGGACAGGGCATCAGGAAAGGTCCGCACAGGAGTCTCTGTGGGGACAAGTGGGGGGCATCCCTAAAGAGCCACTCATGGGCCCCACAATAGGCAGTCAGGACAGAAGACCCAACGCAGCCACAAGAAAGCCAAATGCACCCACTGTGTGAGAGACTCTGCCTTCTCGCTAATCCCCCAGCCCTTGATCCTGGACTCTAGGGGCCAGAGGAGGAAGCAGTAAGCACAGAGGTGGAGCAAGGACAAAAAAAAAGCTGACCGACACTGCTACCGCTGGTTTCTGAGACTCCTGAGCTGGGGGGGGGGGGGGGTGCTTGGAACTGATTGTGATGTGAACTGGACGGTTTAATGCCAGTGATGCAGGACACCACGGGACATCTAGGAGATCTGTCTGAGACGCTCCAAAGGGTAAGAGCGGGAAGAGTCCATGTTGCCTTGAGGACAGAGGTGGGTGCGTGATAACGCCATTTCCTGAGTCCCTTCCAGGTCCAGCCCATCTAATAATGGGGCTACATATCTCCTCATTTAATCCGCATAGTAGCCCTATGAAGAAAATACTACCATTATCCCCATTTTATAGCTAGGGAGGCTGAGACTGGCAAAAACGTGCCAGAGAGGTCTTTCCACTGAACGTGGTCTTACAGCCAGATTACCACACAGCTAAAAATGAGCAGAACCAGCATGAACTCCCGGTTCTCAGACAGGCCCAGGCTCTCTGTAGCAAAAATGGAGTGGCACCTGTAGCACACAGTAGGTCTCAGCCACACAAACCTCACCTTGCCAATCAAGCTAAAGAAGTAGTTCACGAGCTCTCTCAACAGGTACGCACCATCACACAGTCAGATGCAACAGGTGATGGGAAAACTCCCACGGCCACCGGCCAAGGACGGCTCTACCCGCAGAATCTCCCCAACGCACATGTTCTAAGCAATGTTTCTGATCAAATTCAGGTGAACTTCCTGTCTTGCTGAAAACATATCTGATCTCATCATCTAGTATTTACTGACCACCTACTGCCTGCAGAACACTGTTGGGGGTTCTGCCCTCCGAGAGCTGACACACAACACGTGGATCCCTAACAAATGGGAAAGAACGCTGCGGGGGACCCAAAACGGCAGCTCTAGGAGAATTCCGAGGACTGGAAGCCTGCACACAAGTGATGAGCTCACACAGACACGGCTCTGGGTACGCTGCCAGTGGTATGGGAAGACCAATCAGTACTTGAGCATTAAGTTTACTACCCATGTACACATCCCCTGAAAACTACGTGGAAGTGGTTCTTTCTTCACTCACAATGCTGATGTAGATGTCGTCGTCTGAGCCTACACAAACAGGCAGAAATAACCCTTATCTTTGTGCATAACGGTAATATTCATTCAACAGAGATGTACTGAGTGTTACACAACGTCACACACTATTCTAGGTCCTGGGATGAATACCTACGAGGCCCAGGCATAGTTCTGAGCACTTTGCAGGTGTATCTTAATTCATCCAACCTCATGAGGTGATTAACAAGACTATTATTTTCTCCACTTGACAAATGAAGAAACTGAGGCAAAGACATGTTAAGTAAGTGGCCCAGGATCACAGCTAGAAAAGTCAGCCTCTCCCTCTGCACCTTCTCTCTCCATCTCTCTCATGTCCTGTCCTGCTTCTTGCACAAGTGACTAGTTCTCATCTCTGATGACCCTGAGTTCATCTCACCAGTCACAGAAAAAAAACAACACAATACGTCTTGGACTCTGGGTAAGCCCTCTTCAAACCCACACACCGCTGGGGCCAACATTACCGGCCAGTCCAGCAATTACTTCCCCACCATCAGCGTGCGGAGGCCCCACTTTGAGTAAATCTCCTCGCGCTGCGCGGCCCTGTCTAGGCACTCAGGCGAGCACGCACTTCCCGCCCCCTCCTGACGGTAGCACTTCTTACAGGCTGTGCTTCCAGTGTCATGTGGCTGCCTGTCCCCACCAAGGCAGCTGCTGTGCAAAGTGCAACAAGTCAGTACCTTCTGAAAGGCTGCCTGCTGCTCTGTGCCACCATATGGTTGTACAACTGGAAGGAGGCCTTTCAATAGACATCCTGGTGAAAAGCCCAGAAAACCCAGACGCTCAGAATGAACTGTGGCCGAACTCATTCATTTCCCTCCCGTGCCTCTCTTTCCATTTCATTTCTTTTGCCTCCACTGATCTTTCTTTTTTTTTATTTTATTTTTTTTTTGATATTTTGTTCAGATAGAGTGGGAGAGAGAGAGAGAGAGAGAAACATCGACGTGAAAGGGACACATCGAGTGGTTGCCACCCTCACAACCTCACCAGGGCCGGGGACAAACTGCAACCGAGGTACATGCCCTTAGCGGGAACCGAACCCGGGTCTCTCTGGACCGCATGCCGACGCTCTAACCGCTGAGCCAAACCGGCCAGGGCTCCACTGATCTTTCTTAATCTTTTGTTCAACAGGGAAGCTGCAGCTTGAGAACTGTTGACCATTGAGAAGCTATTTGAAACGCCTCCCTAACCAGAGAGATGGTACCGCTCTCCTTCTCCACTTCACTTTGCAGACCCGCTCCTGCTCTCACAGCTGGGTTCGAGCATTTCAGCGCCAACTCAGCCACTCCACACGTAACACTCTGGTCGTCAGCCAGCCCTGCCCGCCGGCACCCATGCCCCACACCTGAGCTAGCGCTGATTTCAGAAGCGAGGTCTCACAGATTCCCATGCTCAACTATTGCTGCGTTCACTTCATATCTTGTATATTAGAAAGTCAATAAAAAGTTGAGCCTGAATCTAATTAAGCTTCCAGATCTCACTTCCAGCTTATAAGAAACACAAGCTAAACAACAGCTTAAGGAAGCAATCTTCAGAGGAATCCCAGACAAACGATCCAGCTCCTTCGACAAATCAATACCATGCAGAAAGCAAAAGAAGGGACTTAAAAGCAATGTCTTTAATACCACAGGGAAAAACCTAGATAGGAGCTGTACTGTGCATGTTTAAAATTTTAAACATTTTTTTTACAAGGCCAGGCTCTGGGTAAAACAGTCTTAATACTTACAAGAAACTAAAAGCCAAAATAAGAACCAAAGAACTAAGCCAAAGAAACGATATTTCCTGGTAGGCAGGGGGCTGGTGACATCACCTGAGTGCCCTTCTACAGACCTGTCACTGCACAGGACGAGAGGGAGAGATCAGGAAACACAAGCTCACTGTGAGCCAGCTCACGGACACCTGAGGCAACGGCCAGTCCTGACAACGGACTTGGTAAGAGGGAGCCCCACACAGCCTCCAAAATAGCAACCACCTAAGGAAACTGGCGTATTTATAGGATACTGTACTTACTTTCTCCATCAGCAATTGCAAAACAGATGAGCTAAAATTACAGAGAGGCCTAGGGGGTTCACAATCTTTAGCCAGTGCTTGCTTACATAGGACCTTCTGTTAAATGCTACACAAGAGAGCAGACACTGTCTACTCGTATTCCTTGCGCCTGTTGCTTTACTTAATAAACAAACAGCACGACTGACGCTTTGTATCACTTGAGAGCAACTCTTGTTCAGATATATACATTGTAAGACCACAGGAATGAAATAAAAATAGACCCATCTCAGCCTGTCCCCAGTATACAAGTGCATGACATCTGTTGATGCAAACCAGTGGTTCCTAACCCAGATCCAAATCCCAAATCTCCTTAGCTAAAGGGACAGAGGGCATTCCCCAAGCTGTTTTTCATATTTCAGAAGGTGAGTTAAAAATGTTGCATTTGCCCAACCCAGGAAAATAGAGGTTAGTGAGAACAAAGTTCTTAGTTTGGGGCTAAAATTACATCACTTCCAAGTAGAACACTGGTTATCACATGCTTATCAAAAACTGAGACCAGCCCTGGCCAGTTTGGCTCAGCGGTTAGAGCGTCGACCTGTGGTCTGGAGAGACCCGGGTTCGGTTCCCGCTAAGGGCACGTACTTCGGTTGCAGTTTGTCCCCGGCCCTGGTTGGTCGTGCGGGTGGCAGCCACTCGATGTGTCCCTTCATGTCGATGTTTCTCACTCTCTCTCCCTTCCTCTCTCTCCCTCCCACTCTATCTGTACAAAAAATGGAAAAATATCCTCGGGTGAGGATAAAAAAAAAAAATTAAAAAAAAAAAAACAAAAAACTGAGACCAGCAACTATGTATCAAGAATTATTTACATGGGGTATCAAATGAACTGCTGCCTAAGAAATGCAGAATTGTTTAAAACATGTTATCTTCGGAAGGAGAAACAATTAGAGTATTCAGCATTAAAATGTGTGAAAGCACTGTCTCAGAATGCATAAAAACCAAGCATGTCTTTTTTGAAGGAAAAAAAGCATCCTTTGACAGTGAGGTCTATCTACTACAGATACACATTAATTCATAAAGTCAATTATCAATGTATGTAGAAATGGCAGTGCCCGGAACAAAACCTGCAAATTTTTTTACAGATGAAAAAAATGTATTAAGCATGCATATATAAAAACTAGATTTCCCCTGGGTCTACAGCAGACCAGTTTAATACCAGGAAGTATGTATTCTAGAAATGACCCACAATGTAGGCCAGAGAAACCCAAGTGACCGGGCTCCTGGTAATTCTGTGAACACTGAGCACCCCCTTTGTCATCCGCCCTCCACCATCCACCATGGAGGCACTGGGGGCCTGACACACTGACTGGAACAGCTGTCAGGGAAGCAGGCGAGCGCAGAGGTCAAACGCATAGACTCGGGGGCCTGACTGCCTGAGAGCCCAGCCCTCCCACTCCCTGGCCTTGTAACTTTAGGCAGGTTTCTGAGCATCAGTGAACCTACAGGAAGAGTCTGGCCTTTCATTAGTACTGTGGGATGTCAGGATTCGCATCAGCGGTGACAGCGGCCCTGCAGAGAGGCATTCCTGCCACAGGGCTCTGACCCCTCTCCACTCTTCCTCTCTACCACACATGCCTCTCGTAATCTGTCCTCTTCCCTGCTACGTTCCTCCCTTGGGGCATTTCAGGCTCATCTACAAGTCACAAGCACCAGAGACCTGGGACAAGGCTAAAGGGCTTGAAAGAAGAAAGATTCTTACCATTTGGTTTCTCTGAAACCAACTGCCAGTGAAAATCCTATGCCCCAGACAGTAGATCCCTCCACTGTCAAAGGGGAGTGGAGATTTTACTGTGAATTACTTGCTTGTTTAAGCTTGAAAGGAACCCCTTCAGGACTCAGAGAAAATCATCTGGTCAATTCAAGCTCATTGTGAACGTTAAAGGGACCTTACTCGTCACGGCACCTCAGAGAAAGGCTTTTACAAGTCACCTAGGACCCAGGCTGGGGCTTTGGGCTACAGATGAAGGGTTACACGGCCCAAACTCCCAGTCTGTCAGCCAGGTCATGAGTCACAGAAGGACTGGAGCCAGCTGGGGACCATGTGACAGGAGGCCGGACACTCAGCTCCGCCCACTGCTCGCCGGCCTGGAACTGCCAGAGGCTGAGTGTTCGAGAGAAGCTGGAGATCCATGTGTGGACCAAGCGAAACACACCGCAGGACAGATATGGCCCAAAGGCTGCCAGGTTACACCCCTAGCGCCAGACAGAGCAGGGGGTCCCTGCAATCCTCAGAGCCTGGGGAATCACGGAGCTACTGCACAACAGTCACTAAGGCCATGGGCAGGGAGGGGCAAGGGCCCCAACCCGTCACGTTTGCAGACTGAATGAGTAACATGCCTTACTCACATAAGAACTACTTGTTTTCCCTAATGTGAAAGGACTCTGTGAAATTAACAAAAACAAATTTTACTTCCAAACATGGCTAAACTGATGAATTTTCATTTCACATTTTCTCAAATGGAGAGATTCCAAAAGCACAGCAACAGTCATGTAGTGCACACAGATTTTATTTATGTTGGAGAGGATACCCTCACACTCCCAATACTCACAACCACCACCCAGACTGATTCTGCCACTTGACTGATGAGACTGACAACTCCCGAAGCCCACTGCGGCCAGGACAGGAAGCCAGGCTCCCAAGTCCCAATCAAGTCCCCTCCTCCACCAGGGAGGGTGGACTCTGCCCCAACAGTGGTCCAAGAAATGACTGCCTGGGTGAAAAACCAGGATAAATGTGATCAAAAACAAAATTCTGAACCAAGTCTTTTTCACCATCACGTCTTCCAAGTTTCACAGGGGCTTCGAGGTGGAGGAAGCATGGATAACCCAACTGCAGCCCTACACCAAACCATCTCCTCAAGTGCACCCCAGATGGGGGTCTTCCCTCAGGTGGAGAGGGAACTCTTGATCTCGCAAGGCCTGATAACAATGCAAATGGAGAACTTGTCTTCCTGCCCCCACAACCCTTTGCTCTCCCGGCCTCGCCATTCAGAACATCTACACCCCTCTCCACCTTCCTCACGACCTACTTCCTTCTCCCCCACCCCAAACGCTGCCTCTGTTTGTTCATATGTTCCCTTCACAATCTCCCTTCTCCTGTTGGCTCCATTTCCCCAGCTAACTGGCTTCATCACAAAAAAGAGTCTTCACTTCCGATCCTTACTGTGGTCTGCAGGTATCAGTCAAGGATGGGTGACGTGAGAGAGGGTGCAGAGGTGAGCACCTGAGCAACAGACTGGCAGAACTTGCCCACTACATCAGACTGGGTACCCTGAAGGCAGAGTAGGTGTTGGGGAAATGGGGCATGCACTCCACGCAGGACATCTGCAGCAGTGGGAGCCAAGGCCGCCAGACACAGCTGCATGAGCTGTGCATGGCGAATGCCAAGGGCACCGCTCCAACAGACCAGGTTACGAGCAGCGCCCTCTGGAGTTGTGTAACAGGGCAGCCCAGACAGGTGTCAGAGGCTCAACCTGCCGGTACGTGGGAATCTTTCAGTTACTCTGATCAATGAAGAGCGATTCGATGGCCAACTGAGTTGTTCAGACTTGAGTGTGCTTATAAATCCCCTGGCAGCTTACCAAAAACAAGGACTGCCCGGCCCTCCCCAGAAATTCAGAATCCTCCGCTCTAGGGGGCCGGGAATGTGTGTGTGGTTTTTTAACAGCCAGCAAACAACGTTGAGGCTTAGGAGAAGAAAGACATTATAAGGACCAAGATTACGTTACCAAAATGAAATGTTTATACTTTATAAAGCTTATTTCTTCCATCTCAGCTGTATTTATGAAAAGTATTATGTGTGAGACCATTACTGATGGCAATCACATAAAACCCAGGAAGCAACTGTCACTAGCAACCCCACCCCTAGCTGTTCCTTTTTTGAGAGCATGCAACCACCCTAGACTCTGAAATGAAATAGCTATTCTGACAGCTCGTGAAATTTATAGCCACCATTTGCCAAATCCCAGGAAATCCACATTCCAGCTGGTCAAAGCCCCTCCTCCCTAACATACCAACATGGCAACCACTCAGACACATACCTTATGGTCCTCCTTCATCACCTGTTCAATGAGTTCAGATTTCACCGGAGGTTTTGAATACTGGCCTGAGAGAAGGCCATGTCCTAACTTAGTCCTGGACAAGAGGGAGAAACAAAAACAAAGAGGTCATTATTGTTTCCCCTTTGAGATACTAACATTATCTGTGATTTTCATATGTACAGCTACTTAAAGGCAAACCGCTTTATCACAATTACTCACAAATAACGTATTTCTTTGATTCTACTTGATACCGATTCCATTTTCAAATTCTCTTCAGTGCTTTATACGTAACTTTATTAATGTCTTTCTTCTTATAAAAAGTAACATGTGCTCATTTTAGAACACTTTTAAAAAAATGCATAAAATCAATAACAAAAATAAAGAGAATTGCCTTTAATTCTGCAACTCAGAAAAAACCACGGTGGAGACTTTTCTTACAAACTACAGTTGGGCACTTACATTTGTGTATTGAAATCTTGTGTTGGATCTAAAGGAGAGTAGTCAAATATTCTTGGAAGATTTCCTACATACCTAGAAAATGAGAAACGACAGTCAAAACATAGGAATTGAGAGAAGAACAGAACCAAAATAAGCCGTCGTCCCAGTGAAGACCTTCTAATCGGTCATTCAAAAGTAAATCATCCGCCTGAAGAAAAGTGTTTTCTGAGCTGCTCCTCCTGCAGCCACATCCAGGGACCTCCCTAAAATGTGTGTGCTTCTATCAGTGGATCTCAACCCTGGGCATGAGTTAGAATCCCCTAAAGAGTTTCTTGAAAAAATACAAATGCCGGAGACACCCCCAGGTTCTGATTTCACTGTTTGAGACTGAGGCTGGGATGTGGAATCTTTTACAAGTTCCCCAAGTGGTTCTAACACGTGGCCAGAGTCAAGAACAATGAGCTTATACCATTGCAACTGCTGCCTCAAAACAAGTAAGGTGAGGAATTGTTCCAATGATGTCAAAATGAATAATAATGATAACAGCAGTGACAACCATCATTTCTTGAGGGTTTCCTGTGTTACCTGGTTCCATCTTCATTACAACCATATGAGGAAGTGGTTAGCATTGTTACCCCATTTGAGAGATGAGAATTGGGGTGCAAATTCATTAGGCACCTTCCAAAGTTACCCAGGGAAGGAGGGACGAAGCCAGAGTGAACCTAGGCCGCCTGGCCCTGAGCTGTGCTCTGAACCTTCCTGCCAGCTGCACCCGCCCCATCCACGGGCGCTGGAGCAGCCCACAGCCCCTCCTCCTGACCAGCTCGTCCTGACAGCAGTGCTAACTTAACCACCCATCTCTAACCTCAACGTATAGTCATTCCTTTCCCTTCCTAAACTCACTGCCTACTTCACACCCTCTGCTTTGTGATGTTCATCTTTCACTCTCTGGGCTTTGACTCTGAGCCTGAAAGAATCCAGAAGCAGATCCCTTTCCCCGATCCTTCACGTACCCTGCTCCACCCACTTCTCTGACCTCATCCCCCCCCCCCAATGTCCCCCACCTGCCCTTCTTGCTGCCCAAGGGCACACCATGCTCGCTCCTGCTTCAAGTCAGGCCATCTGCTATCTCATTCCTGGAACACTCCCTCCACAAATCCTGGTTCCTTCTCAGGTCTGATTAACAGTCATTTACCGCCCTTCCTCATTTCCCTATCACCTGACCTTGGCTTACTTTCTTCTTGGCATGTACCACTATTTGCAATTATACCATTTATGTTCTTGTTTATTATCTGTCTCTCTAGAGATTACATACTTGGATATAGTCTCCATGAAGGCAGAGACTCTAAATCATTGCATCTCCAACACTAGAACAGCACCAACATGTAAAAGACACTCACTACATGTTAAATTAATACATTCCTAACGTGTAGTCACATAACCCATTTCCATAACTGACTACATATAACCCAACAGAAAAACATTACTGCAATGAAGCCCTAGCAGAAAACCATGACACCTAGTAGTTAGCAGCGACCTCAACTGGATCCCTCAACCACTAGAAATCTCAACTAGTGACACCTCTGTTGACAGACTCAGAACGTGTCACCCAGCTTATGCTCCTACATCAAAACAAATAGAGCACGCTTCTCCGGACAGCCCCACTCAAACGGCTTTGGGATGTGTCACAAGGGCAACAATTCCATCTAGAAATTGTCAACAAACCAAGAGCCAAATAAGAGGTCAACCAAAGTTTGGAACCAAACTATTCAAAGCCAGAGGCTACACTGATGAATTCTTAGTAACATAAAACACAATTAACTCACTACACTCCATTCTTTCTTTCTTTCTTTATTTTATCCTCACCCGAGGACATTTTTTTGATATTTTGTTCAGATAGGGTGGGAGGGGGAGAGAGAGAGAGAAACATTGACGTGAAAGCGACACATCGAATGGTTGCCACCCACACGACCCAACCAGGGCCGGGGACAAACTGCAACCAAGGTACGCGCCCTTAGCGGGAACTGAACCCGGGTCTCTCCGGACCGCAGGCCGACGCTCTAACCGCTGAGCCAAACCGGCCAGGGCTACACTCCATTCTTTTCACACCTCAAAACAACAAAACAAACTCACTGGGAAGATGCACATTTGAGAAAAGGTTTACGTTTTCAGGCAAGATTGGCAAAGAGGAATAAAGTTAAACGGCGGATATCTTTGATGTCAAAAACTTCCATTTTGTTAGTAATTTATATTCCTTTTCTAATCAGTGAGAAATGTTATCCATTACAACAAAACTAAATTAAAATGCAGAAGTAATACTAGATAATTTTTAAATATATATTATACCTTCAGTTTATAATCTAGTGGTTCTCAGAGAAAAGACATTGTTTTGCTACCTGGGAATTCATGTTAGTTGTCATTCAATTGGTACACCAGCTCATTTTAGATTTGATCCTCATCAGAATTATTTTGAAATGTAAACTGGGTCCAAGTGGCAGACGGGGTCTCAAAGAGTAGAGCTGATGTTCCCAAGTTACACTGTGATTGTGTGTAAGTCATTGACTCTCTCTGTGAGTCATTCTTTCAACTTACAAACAGAGGCATGCCCCTGGACCTAACTCCACTGAGGCAGCTCCGCTGGGGGAAAATGAGTGTGAAGAGAAAGTATTTCAATCCAGTGGTTATTTGGTTTAAAACAAAACAAACAAAAAAAAAAAAAACAGGGGATGAGTATGAATAATAAATTGCTTATGCTCTAATATCTATAGTAAGTGTTTAGAAAACAGAATATAAAATATTAGATAATATAAAATTCTAAAGCCCTTGAAATAAGACTGAGGTGAGAGATTTGAATCATAAATCTCAAACACAGATATAAGGTGCATTTCTTATTGAAAAAAATCAGAAGGGTAATGTTCATCAAACTTTGAAATGTGGAAAGAATTTTCAAAAACTGTAAGTTGTAAATCACTAAAAATGTTGTTGGGCTTTGTAACGAAAGAACACAAGTTCCTCCATTCTAGTTTAATAGAAATAATAATTATATGACAGCTCCCATAAGGATATTCCTTCAATATTTAAAAATAATCTCGGAGCATGAGACATTTTAGATGAACCACATTGTTGCCCAATCAGCTGGTAATACAAATACGAGATATGGGTAAGAATTAATGAAAAATAATACGATGCACAATGCATACTTTTGAAAAAGTTTTCCCATCTCAGAGTTTCAGATTTGCTCCTCCTTCTGTCCAACACCCTCTGTCCCCGTGCCCCATAAACATCCCTTTGTGTGTCCTTTCTTCAAAGAGATCCTCCTGACACCTCCTTCCCTTCTCCTTCATGGAACTCCCCATGTTTATAAGCATGCAGCTATTCTTACAGTGATTTAGTTAATGTTTGTCTCCCCAAGCACACTGCTGAGCGGAGCAGAACCCACTGTTTATTGGCTGGACGGAAACCAGGCATGCAAAACTGACCATAAATTTCCCAAACCAGAAAACAGTAAAAGGCAAGTCTTCAAATACCGAGAGAGGAAAGAAAGGAATATTTGCTGTATCTTTTTATTAGTTGCTCTTACAGACATTAGCATTTCAACTCCAATTGGGTAAAAAACTGCCCTGTACCATTCCTAGTGTGCTGTCTGCCTGTCTGTCTTAGCACACGTGTGTTCTCTTCCATTCTGGAACCATGGTGGAAACCCACCCACTTTGCAAAACCTAGATACGATTTTCTAAACTTAGGCAGTGGCTGCCCAGGACTGCTCGGCCAAGGGTTCCAGTCTCGGTGGCTCCATGTCCAAGCACAGCCTAAGGAAGAAAAGGGCTAAAGACAGCCACCCTGCCCCTCAGTGCAGAAGGATGAAGGCAGCTTTGTTTAGCACAGGTAAGAAGCGCCCTAAATCAGTGCCTCCCAAATTATCTTCAGCAAAGGGCCACAAGTTCTGTCAACTCATGTAGATGATACATTAAAAAATATAACAGCCCTGGCCGGTTTGGCTTAGCGGTTAGAGCATCGGCCCTCGGATCAAAGGATGCAGCTTTGATTCCAGTCAATGGTATGTATGTACCTTGGTTGTGTTTCATCCCCGGCTCTGGTTGGTTCAGGCGGGAAGGAAGCAGTCGATGTGTCTCTCTCACATCAATGTTTCTCTCTCCCTCTCTCTCTTTCCCTCCCACTCTGTCTGATGATAAATGTAAAACTATCCTCGAGTGAGGATTTAAAAAATTAAATAAATAAATAAAAACACAATAAAAACAAATTATTAGAAAAGTGAAATGCCATTTATAAAACATGGCCGTGTTGAATTGCTACACACACTGCTCCACGCTGGCTCACTCCGTTTCCTTCCCCCTCTGCACCACGCCCAGCACAGCGAGGACCAGAACCAGTCTGTGAGTCACATTTTCAGAGACAAAAAAATGAAAAGCTGAAATCCTCTAAGAACTCCACTGACCAGCAGGGCAACACTGACCGAGCAGGTCCGAGTCTCTCCTCAAGCATCTTTAGGAAGGGGTCTGGCCGGCGGGCTGTGAAGACTCACGGTTAACATTTTCTCGGCCTAGAGCAGTTCTCAACCTGCCTAATGCCGTGACCCTTTCATACAGATCCTCATGTTGTGGTGACCCCCAACCATAAAATTATTTTCGTTGCTACTTCATAACTGTAATTGTGCTACTGTTATGAATCGCCATCGGAAACGTGTTTTCCGATGGTCTTAGGCGGCCCCTGTGAAAGGGTCGCTCGACCCCCCAAAGGGGTCGCGACCCCCGGTTGAGAATGGCTGGCCTAGAGGGCGGTGGTGAATAATGGAAGCCAGTATCAGTACCACGAACCCGTGGGCGGCTTCTCAGGTTACGAGTCTCCCTGTCTCGCCAGGTCTCAGCGGCCTCAGCGCAAGCAGCCACAGCACGAGGACGAGCGGGAGGTGCGGTGGCCCATGGAGAGGGGAGCCCACACTGCGGGACTGGCCCGGGGCGGGGACGAGGGCAGCAGGGCGCCCAGTCGGGGGGGACTCACGCTCGCTGGAACTCCGGGATGCTGAAGATGGCCTGCATGACGGAACTCAGATAGCAGCTGTTGCCCAGGTTCTTGAGGCCCGTGTACCCGGGGCCATACATGGGCTTCAGCTTCGTCCCCGTCTCCTGGATCACTTCCCACTCGCTGACCCGCGGCTTGATGTCATTGTCCCGGAGCCCATTCTCTGTCTGGGGCAGAGTCATTGAAGAAACACAACGTTAGCCATAATCATCACTGGGTGTCCCATGAATTATTTCTAACAGCAATGGATGTTTCTGCCTCTTTTCCCCAAACAGATAGAGGAAAACAACCTAATTAAAAGAGAGGGAGATGGTGATGGTTGCGCAACAACGTAAACATACTTAATGCCACAGAACCACACATGTCAAAATGGCTAACATGGGAAATTTTATGTTATGTCTATCTTTCCGCGGTTAAAAGAAAACAGATTTAAAATATTAAAAAGTAAGAGACGGAGAAGAAAGGAGATAGGAGGAGAAAGAAAGACAAATTAAAATAAATAAATAAAAAGAAGAAGCAAGTAGAGGAACTTCGAGAGAGAACAAAACACAACCCAGCAAACAAAAAGGCAAGGCCGTTGGAGAGGAAAGTAAAATAAAACCGTGGGGCTTGGGAGTGCCTGGGAACAGGAGGAAGGCTACAGAGGAGCAGAGAGAATAAACTCCCAGGTGGCATGAGTGCGAAGGAGGAGAACATGAGAGGGAGATGCCTGGGCTGCGAGGAAGGGCCTGAAACAGAGCACACACATTTAAATAGCTCCTCGCAGGGACAAACATCGCACAGTCATGACAGCAGCCTGAAAACACAGTATCAAATGAAGCAAAGCTCTCCCATCAACAGTAATATGCTGGCTTATTCTTTCCACCTCCCACAAGCTCTGCTTCCCTTCCTGAAATTAACTAAAGTGATGTGGGTCACAGATACTTTTCAAGGTCAGCTCGCTGCCGTACCTTCTCCCTTTAGCAAACAAAGAGCGATTCATGCAACTCTCCATCCATGGAGATTTTGCACGAAAACTCCAACTAAACCAAATGGTACTTGACGGGGTGCCACTTTTATTATAACAAAAAAGTCTAAGCTGGTAACCATAGGAAAACACCGATTAATTACATTCAAGAAGTAAACGCAAACACTGAAACCTAGAAAATGAAGATTCATGTTAGAGAAATGATATATTAAATGAAACAGTTCCCTCCCCCAATATGGGAACAGAGACAAAAGCAGACAATCTCACCCCGTGCATATGAAGCATGTCAATTCCAAAATGAGCTAAGTGCTTGGCCAAGTGAGGATCCAAAACAGGTTCCTCTTCTTGAAAAGAATAAACATCTAGAGGGTGAAGAGAAAATACACTGTAATCAAGTCATTCAATATTCGGCATATATTTATTGAGCTCCTACCATGTACCAGGCTTGGGAGGCATCAATGAACAAAACCAAAACCTCTGGTGAGTTACCTTCAACTGGGAAAGACAGATGGTGAACAACAACATAAGAAATAGGTATTTTTGGTAAATGTGCCCATACATCAATTCTTGTGACATTTCAGGAATATAAAAAGGTTTTCTGAAACTAGAAAAGAGCGGTGTCTAAAGTTAAACTAATTTTAAATTAGACAAACACAATGCCTTAACGGTTGATTTTTCTAACCAAAACCACAGTGGTGAGTTCAGGAGGAGAAAGGGATGAAGGAGGAGAGGTAACCCTGTGTGCCCATGGCAGGGAGAGACTCTGGGGGACACAGGCCCTCAGTGTCAGCTGAAAGGCTGGATTGGGGTGTTGGGTCCAGGACACAACACAGTTCTGCCTGTGGACCTGTTAGAATAGGCAGCTAGACAGACATGAGCTGAGAGAGGTAGCTAGGGCCCGAAGGGGATATGTGGGAGACATGACAAACCCAAACTAGCAAAATCCAGCAGCCCCAAATATGAAGGAGGGGAGACATCAAACTGCTCTGGGATGTGGTCTCCCTGATAGCATAGCATCCAGGCAGGGCAGCTTGGAGCTTAAGAAGATGTGTTTTTTGAGACATGAGGGAGGGAGGTGACTTGTTCCTTGCCTAGGAGTGTTCCAACCTAGGGGTATAAATCCTCCAAACTCCTAGATCAGCAGTGCACTTGGCTCGACTTCAGAGCCAAGCTGCCCATTCAGACCATATCCGAGTGTATTTCCTTTTGTTGCAAATAAACTCTTGTATACTTTGCTACTATTTGCTGTTGTCTCTTGTTTGAATTCCTTCCTACAAGGAGACAAGAACTGGGGGTGCAGAGACCACCTCTACCATCTCAAACCTATCAGCTCGCCAACTTCCACCTCCCGCCGGCCCCCCATGCCTCCTTCCCACTTCGGTGTCCACACCTCACAGAGTTGGCAAGGGATGTGTGAGGACTGTGCAGTGCTTGGTCTGAACGGGCAGCTTGGCTCCAAAGTCAGGCCAAGTGCACTGCTGATCTAGGAGTTTGGAGGATTTATACCCCTAGGTTGGAATACTCCTAGGCAAGGAGCAAGTCACCTTCCTCCCTCATGTCTCAAAAAACACATCTTCTTAAGCTCCAAGCTGCCCTGCCTGGATGCTGTGCTATCAGGGAGACCACAATCCCAAATGTGTCCACCTCGGTGCACACACAGAGGATGATGCGTTGGCACAGCCAGGGTAACTCAAGGCGCTCCGGCTGCCCCAGGCGCTGCCCCTCTGGCCCCTGCCGGAGGGCCTGAGGGATGGCACGTTGGCCTGTCGGTCACCATCTATGGTGCACTAGCATTGGGGAGCTCTGTGCTGAGGTGGAGGCTTCTCTCCTCAGAATCCCAATCCTCCACCTGACAAGGGAATGCTGCAGATGAAACCTGGCTTCTCAAAGTGTACAGACCCGGGGCCCCAGCCCAGACCTACTGAATGAGAATGTGCACTTCAATAAGATCCCAGATGCCAGCCGGACCAGTTATCTGTCCTCACACAGCAGTGCGATGTGGGAGAGAAACAGCTTCAGGCCCATTGTGTAGGTGAGGAAAAGAGGTCAGAAAGGTGATATGATTTGCCCCACAGGTGGCCCAGAACCCAGGTACTCTAACTCCTGGCCCAGTCCTTTCTCCTCCACACTAGACTATTTCCTGAAATCTCTCAGGAGACCTGCAGACTTGCTGAAGCACCATCCTGGGCCCTTAGCAGGCATGGAGAGTCAAAAACCACAATTTGTTCACTCCTACATTTGAAAAACAAAATTTATATAAGGGAAATAGATATAAAGATATCACAAAACCCACAATTTGTTCACTCCTACATTTGAAAAACAAAATTTATATAAGGGAAATAGATATAAAGATATCATAAAAACCACAATTTGTTCACTCCTACATTTGAAAAACAAAATTTATATAAGGGAAATAGATATAAAGATATCATTCTTTAGGACAGAAATAGATAGACTGTCCAAGGAATTTCCTGCTCTTTGGAACATCACCAGGAGTCGGGGGGGAAGAAAAGCAATATATAGAAACTATGGTGACCCTTTGGCCTAAACCCAGATACACAGAGGTTCACTGTCACCAAAGGAAGCCAGTCTTTGTATTATTAATAGATTAAACATCTTTTCCTTTTCTCCCTCTTTCCCTAGAGGTCCATTTTAATTTGTGAGTGGAAGCCTTCATTTATATTCTTTTATTTTTAATGTAATTCAATGCTTAAAAGCAAAAACAAAATCAAAACACCCGACCCAATTAAGAAACAATTTGAGTTTAAATACTAAAAACACCAACAAAATCTTTGAACTAATAACTTGAAGCAAATACAGCAACAGTATTTTTTCATCTGTGACAAATGACAGAAAAATGTTACCCAATCCTGGCAGGAAGGTAAAAATGTCCCTGGGCACCGTAACTCTGGGTATTATTAACTAGTGAGATCGCTTTGAAGACTTGAGACTTTAAGCCTCTAAGTACAGAGATCGATTAGAAAATAATAAAATTGCTAGAACTGCACCATCAGCATTAGCCTAGGGTTTTGAAATAAGTGAAAATCACAGAATTATCTATGGTTCTTAACCCATTAGCCTCATGTCACATGAAGAAATTAATGTTTCCTATCTCCAGTCATTAATTGCTCCAAAAACATGACACGATTTGGTCAGACACTATAGTTATTTCTTACTCCAATGACAAAAGCAGTTTAGTGAGTAACATACAAGTAACCTAAAAATGAACTGTGATCTTTAAACTTGGTCATTATGAAGACTTTATAAATGACATGGAGTCATGGAAAAAAAAAAATGAAGTGGACTCAGAGGATGAAAGTCCTGGCTTCTACATTTTTCACTGGGAAATTCACTTTACCTCTAACTTCAGCTTAGGCAAGTCAAGTCTTAGCTCAGAAACTATTGTAGCAAACAAGCATTGCCCTATAAGTGTGACCCTCCCCCATCCCTAAATTGACTTAAAAACTTGAGCCCTGCCCTGTTTCCTCAGTAGTTAGAGCACTGGCCCGTAAACCAAAGGGTCTCGGGTTCAATTCCTGGTCAAGGCCATGTACCTGGGTTGCAGGTTCGATTCTCAGCCCGGGTTGGGCCCGGTTTGGGTCCGGTTTGGGTCCCAGTTGGGGTTAAGCAGGAAGCAACCAATCAATGTGTCTCTCTCATATCTTGTTTCTTTCTCTCCCTCCCTCCCTCCCTTCCACTCTATCTGAAAAATCAATGGAAAAGTATCCTTGGCTGAGGATTAACAAAAAAAACCCCAAAAACTTGGAGCTAAGAATCACAGTTAGGAAATTTCCAGAGGAACCCTTGCAGGCAGTGTTTCACAAGTAGCTGCGTTCACTTTAGAAGGAAACCAACATTGTTTTGTTTCCAGGGAAATGACAAACTAAATCACGGAGAGCATGGAGAGATCCACAGAAGGAGAAAGATGAAAGAAAAGTTTTAGGTATGATGAAGCCACTGATATGATGAGCATGTTAGAAAATAGGTCATACAGACTTCCGGTCAAGATGGCATGTAGGTAAGCGCGGTATCGCGTCCTCCCACAACCACATCAAAGTTACAACTAAACTACAGAACAACCATCATTCAAAACTGCCTGAAATCAAGCTGAATGGAAGTCCTACAACTACGGAATTAAAGCAGCAGCCGCATCCAGACTGGTAGGAGGGGCAGAGGCGGACAGGCTGGTCCCACACCCACGTGTGGCGGATAAAAATCAGGAGGACACCTCGGCTGGGAAGGTCCTCCCTGAGGACTGAGGGGTCCCCGTCCCACACCAGGTGCCCCGCTCAGGGTTCCAGTGCCAGGAAGAGAAGTCCCCATAACTTCTGGCTGAAAAAACCAGCGGGAACTGAGGCTCAGGGAGGCTGACATGGCTGGAGCCCCAGGCAGCTCCTTAAAGGGCCCACGCACGGACTTATCAGACTCTCTCCTTCTAAGCTCGGAGGGGAGGTAGCTCGAGGGGCGCCAGAGACATACAGGGAAGAACTGAGCTGTTTGGCACTGGAGCGAGGGCTGGAGAGGGGGCTTTCTCCGGGACAAACGTGCTGTCAGAGGCCTTTGTTCCTTTGGTGAGCCCTTCTCCTGGGGCGGCAGACACCTGCCATATCTGGGACTCCAGCAACCTGGCTCACACTGGTAGCCCCGCCCTGGTGACTCCCTGAGGCCCCGCCCCACCCAACTTTCAGGCCCACCCAAGCTGTTGCCAGTTGCTTAACCATAGGATTGGCCTGTCTTGGATCCTGCTTCAGGACTTTCTAAATTCTTTCAAACAAGCAGCATCTGGTCTCAGATAGCCCCATACCTCTCATTAAGTAATACACAGAAACAAACACAGAGAGGCAGCCAAAATGAGGAGACAAAGAGTCTGTCCCAAATAAAAGAACAGAACAAAACCCCAGGAAACAAACTAAGCGAAATGGAGATAAGCAACCTAACAGATGCTCAGTTCAAAATACTGCTTATAAGGATGCTCAATGAACTTAGTGAGAACCTCAGCAAATTAGTGAGGGCCTCAAGAGCATAAAAAGGGACCAGTCAGAAATGAAGGATGCACAGTCAGAAATGAAGGAGGTACTAACTGAAATAAAGAATAATTTACACAGATTCAATAGTAGAGTAGGTAAAGCCAAGAAGCAAACCATTGATTTGGAACATAAGGAAGCAAAAAACACCCAATCAGAACAGCAAAAAGAAAAAAGAATCCAAAAAAATGAGGATAGTGTAAGGAGCCTCTGGGACAACTTCAAGCGTGCCAACATTCGCATCTTTGGGGTGCCAGAAGGAGAAGAGAGAACAAGAAATCGAAAACCTATTTGAAACAATAATGGCAGAAAACTTCCCTAACTTGGTGAAGGAAACA